TAGGCTCCGTGGTGGGTGGTAGGCACCATTACCGTATGGACTGCTCTTTTCCGTGTTATGAAGAAACCCCTTGCTCACAATCGCTCCCTGAAAAGGTGGCACACTGATGCCACTGCAAAACTTTTTTTTCGAAAGAAGGCCGGCTTTCCAAATACCACGTCAACGTCATTCACTGTGAGAACTCGGACAAAAAAAAAAACTCGGAACATTTCCCATTTCTAGTATTCAGATGCCTCACCGAAACCATCAGAAGTGGCTATAAAGCCACTAAGATGGCCAGTGGGATTGTCTAGTAGAGGTTAAAGACAAAACACATGCAGTTTCAGAAACTAGAAGGCCAAGTAGTATTTGGAGACAAGCCTGTAAACATTTTTCCTCACAGAACGATGAACACCGTCAAAATCGTTTTGTCAGGCGACGACCTAATAGACCTGACCGATGATGAACTTCTGGCTGGCTCAAGAATTAAAATGTTTTACATGTACAGCGTATCATAATCAGGAGAAACAGCTAATAAATGCGAATTAAGAACATAATCGTGAACTTCGGATGCTCCACACTTCCTAACGAAATAGTGACCGGCTATATGAAACTATCTGCGAGACCCTACATACCAAATCCGAGGTGATGTTTTGAATGGCAAATATTTGGCCATGCTTCCCAGACTTGCCTAGGACAGCTAACCTGTGCGAAGTGCGGTACCATGGGACACTCCACGGATTGTCGCTGCAATGCCGATGTACACTGCGCGAACTGCAACGGTGACCATCCGGCATATTCTAGGTCCTGCATGCGTTGCGTGGAACAAACAAAAAGAAAGTATAACCGTCAAAGTGAAACAAAACATCATTTTCCGTGGAGCAATACAATTCGTGTCTCCCTATTACCAAGCAAAACGTAGTTCGACGAAAGGTGCAGCGGAGCGCAGCACCACATCAGCTTCAGGTGGCCGGCCCAGCTGCACCTAAGCGTACTGGCACCAACGCTTCCTACCCCCGTGGTAGGAGCAGCCACCGCTGCCCTGCCTTCTGTCGAAGTAGGCCCACCAGCCGCTGCTGCATGGCCGGGCAGCAGCCAGGTTGGCGCAGAAGCAGCCAAGATGCCCACTCCACCTCGTTTGGTTGAAGGCTTCGTCTGCACCTAACAAAATGCTCTGCAGGGCGAGTTGGTGTGTGCCCAAAAATAAAAGTAGAGCGCAAATACATTGAAGGATCATAGCTATTGAGCGTTAGGTGGCGTTGTACTCACGAGCATTTATCACCACCATCATCATGGTTAGTTCGTAGCGCCTGCGGTGATGCATGGTGTATGCCTCGGTGGCGGCTAGGGAGAGATGAGCGGGGCTCTTTGGCGGGTGGCGATTAGCGCGAATGGTGGTCTTTAGCTGTGGGTCCCCGTAGCGTGGCACCGCAGGTTGCGCGCCGGGAGCCTTCGTAGTGAGTTAGGCGTTGGCGAAGGCGCCTTTTGTGTGTTCTTGTGTTTGTTACGTCGTTGAGTGTTGCGTTATTTTGTGTAAGGTTGTTTTAGCTTGTTGATCCAAATTGATGGTATAATAATTCGGCTGACAATGTTTTCGATCTAATGTAAATGCAGTTTAATAAATGTGTTGTTTTGGTTCGTTCCCACAGTGTATACCGTACCTGTTTACTCGAAGAGCGTGGTGCTCTCTCCGTTTCGGGCCCCACAGACTCTATTAGAAAAAAAAAAAACCTTTTCCGTTAGCTTACCGTGAACACATTCCACTACATCGCGGGATGCTCATTGGCAAAGAACCATTTTTTTTACCAGTCATTATTGGCGTTTTAGATGAAATTCACAGTTCCGCATCACATATGAGGGAAATCCGTAGCGCAATCTCTCCGCAGAAGTCGTTGCTGTAGTAGCCGCTCTGACAAGCACCTGCCTCTCAGCCTTTGGCTTCAAAGGGTTTATTTATTTATTTTTATTTATTTATTTGCAATACCCTCAGGGCCAAACGGCATTACAGGGGGAGTGGTTGAGAAAGAAAAGACAAAAATTTTTACAAAATGCAGCGGCGAATCTTACATCGAGCAGAAGATCTTAATTATACAGGTTAGATAACAGGCTTTATAGCAAACAAAAATGCGGGAATGATGAGAATTACATCAAGACAGGAAAAACGACAAGAAAATAAATACTGTACAGGAACAACACAGCATCGGGTAATACAATACTTTGTTGGCTGTAATTACACATAACTAGCTAAGACACTTTTAAAATGAAGGTGATTTACAATGGTTACCGCTGATGCGGGAAGCCGGTTCCAGTCCTGAGAGGTCCGAGGTATGAAAGACTGAGAAAAGGCGCGAGTCCTGCAAGAAGGCAACCCGACCTTATGGGAATGATCCAGCCGGGGTGAGATATAACTAGGAGGCAAGATAAGACCGTCCCGCCGCGATGTGTGATGAAACAGCTTGTGAAACAGGTGGAGACGAAACATTTTACGACGGGATGAAAATGAAGGTAAGTTGAGGCTAGATTTCATGGCTGTTATGCTAGCTGTCCTGTTGTAATTAGAAAGTATAAAACGAATTGAGTCATTCTGTACCATTTCAAGAGAGTGTATTAGGTTGGCATGACTAGGATCCCATACTACAGCGGAACATTCAAGTTTAGGTCGTATTAGTGTAGTGTAAAGAAGAAGTTTCAAGAAAGAAGGGGCCGTTGAAAAGTTGCGGCGGAGGTAACCTAACATTCGGTTAGCATTTTTAATGACGTAATTACAGTGAACAGTTCAGGTCAGATCAGTTGTTATATGCACCCCAAGGTATTTATAGTTTGTCACGGATTGAAGAGGAATGTTATCAAGGTAATAGTTTGGAAGTTGATGGTTCGCTCTCGAAACACGTAAAAATTGGCATTTCTTATTGTTTAATTCCATGAGCCATGTTTTACACCAAAGAGAAATGGAGTTAAGATCATGTTGAAGAGAGGTAATATCGCTATCACGAGTTATCTCTCGGAAGATTACGCAGTCATCCTCAAGTAAATGAATATTGGAAGTAATACAGGACGGTAAATCATTAATGTATATAAGGAAGAGCAGTGGGCCTAGTACGGAGCCTTGTGGTACGCCGGAATGAACGGCACTTGGTTCAGAGCTTACATTATTAACTGAAACAAATTGAGAACAATTTTTTAGAAAACATTCGAGCCATGTTAGAAGCCTGGGATCTATATTAAGTTCATTTAATTTGTGCAACAGCAAGTTGTGACAGACTTTATCAAAAGCTTTGGAGAAATCTATGAATATGCAGTCGGCAGAGCTATTTTGGTCGAGAATAACGTTTAATTTGTGTGTAAAGGCTGCAAGCTGAGTTTCGCATGAGAATGTTTTTCTAAAGCCATGTTGGTGACGCGTAAAAAACGAGTTAGACTCAAGGAAGGTTGCAAGGTTAGAGTACAAAATGTGCTCCAGTATTTTGCATGGAATGCTAGTAAGTGAGATGGGTCCATAGTTTAATGGGGAATGCTTGTCACCGGACTTGTGAAATGGCACAATTTTGCCAATCTTCCATTCGATTGGTAATACGCCTTCGTGAAGAGACTGTTGAAAAATTTTAGTAAGAATAATGGATGAGTAGGCACAGGTACCTTTAAGGAAGTTGGTGGTAATCAGGTCGCAGCCCGGGGCGGATGAAAGTTTGAGGGACTTAATTATGTTTTCTACACCAACAGAATTTATCATAATTGGGAACATGATTGGGTAGTTATAGCATATCTTAGGTGGCAGGGGAACATTAATAGTGCGACAGAAATTGCTAGTGAAAGAGATGTTGAGAGATGAAGCGCACTGCTCAGGGGCTACAGCGTCTCAAAAGCCATTGATAAGGCTTATCGTTTGTTCACTACTTGGGTTTATGACGCGCCAAAACTTTTTAGGATCCTTGGATAACATGGATGGAAGAGTGGTATTGATAAATGTGTCTTTAGCAGATTGGATGACTCTGATGTACTCAGCAGACGCTAATTTGTAGGCATTCCATCGGGAAGCGTTGTTAGAACGCTTTGTTAATCTGTATAGACGCTTCTTTTTGTTGGATAGCCGTTTAATGTGCTTATTAAACCAGGGGGCGTGTAAGTTTGTAGTGATAGAGCGGACGGGGATGTATTTGTTGGTCAGTTCATCTACCTTACGTATAAACAGATTCCAATTAGTTTGGAATCTGTTTGGGTTGAGGAGACATTTATGTTATTTTACAATAGCTCAGTTGAAGATACGATTTTCACTTGTGAATCATCCCACATCTATACATCAAATCGCTTATCACTTTCAGGATTTTATATTTATACACACATTTTACGCTTTCATAGAGCACGTGATTTCAGGCCTCTATACAGCTGTAATACACCCTGTCATCACAATCACTGGTCAATGCTTTCATCGCATTAAAAACACGGTGCTCTTTAGCCACCCATGGCCCTTGCGTCACAAAACGCCACTAATCAATCATCGTATTAGCAGGAAACACTGGTCCATCACTACACGCTTTACGGCTCCCCAGGTTTCTCTCCTGCGCAACGCCGTGATGGCCACCAGCGTCAACGTCGCTTTAAGCGTTAGCGCCTGCTGATTCGCATCTACACATGGTTCCGTTTAGCGAAAAGTGGTGTACTTTTTTCACCAAACAGTTATTTGGTCATATCCGTGTGATATGGCCTCCCCTTGAGACTATTGTTTCTGTACAGTGAAGATTTAAAGAAACCCGGCCATTAATTTTTGCAGGAACTTGGGCACTCTAGTCACCATGAAAGTAACAAATGTTCACCAGCCCTTCTAGAAAGTTTTCCACGAATATAAACTAAATGGAAGCTTATCGCGCTGATTACTGCTTTCTTGGGGCATCGAAATATCTGCCCGTTTGACTGTTTTTCATCACAGCTGCATGGTGCGGTAGGTGTAATGAATTATACCCCGAACTTTCCACAATATACTATTGTAACAATGCTGTTTATGCTCTCTAAAACTTATCACGCAGGATCTCAAGGTGTACGAAGGAAATTCGGATTGCCTTGCACCTGAATATCAAGACATACTGGAGCAAAGCGATGAGCTGGAGCTGGAATTCAAGAAACAACCTTGTTACCTGGAAAGACTTTACGGTAGAGTACCATGAGTGACAGGTCTTTTATCTTTTTTCGCACCTTGGTTAAACGTGTGCTCAAAAACGGCTTTTAAACAGGCTTCGAAAGCCAGTGGCATATTTCTGTAACCTTGTTCAACAATAACCCTTCAATAAGTATCTCCATCTCCAGTCTGCCTCTTATTCACTTTGGTACGAGATACTAAGGCAGAGCACCCGCACTTCCGAGAGTGAGTAGGCCGGGAAATGAGGGAAACGTGCATATTGACGGAAAGCTTATTGCGGCGGCAAGCAGCGGAGTAGCATGACAAGAGCGGACATCAGTGCTGCCAGATTGCCCTAAGACGAAATTAGTAGCCGGACCCGCCAAAAATCAGCGCATTATCCGAAAAGTCTCTAGATTTCGTAAAAATCAATTTAATGGCATACATTTATTAAATCACCTGCATCAGTATTTTTTTCAATAATCCTATTTGTTATATTTGTGAGGCATTTTAAAAAGTTTCTTCAAATACTTATATGTTAAGACATTTTTCACAATCTTTAGGGCACCCCAAGCCGCAATGGCACATTTCTGGTTGACGTGATGTGTGTGTTTCTTCCGTGGTTTCTTGTGGTTTCTACGCACCTGTAATCCTGTGGCCTTCGAAAATTGGCGCTGGAAAGTTTGGCAGTCAATGTGTAACCGAAAAGGTTTCGGGTGCTCGCCGCTTATGGCGCAGTCGAAGTATTACAGCAAAAGCTGTTATGAAATAAGAACACGGGTCACAACGGCGCCGTAGTTGTCTGCTGCCGCCGCTGCCGCCACCACTGCTGGTGTTCGTAACCAGTCTCGAACAAAAAAAAAAACTCGGCAAATGAAAAACAGCAATGACGCGATGGCGTGCCAGGCCACCATTCTACCACTAAGGCATGCTAGTGCTTGGAACTTGTTTCTAAAGTGGTCTTAAGCAGGCTTGATGTCGGGAAAGGAGTTGCATTATTTTGAGTAGTAACAAGGCGTTTTAGAACATAAAAGGAATAGCCAGGCGTCACACAATTCGAAATGCGTAACGAATGGGTCGTCGAAATATCCAACCCATTAGAAAACTTGTTCTTGATCCCCTATTAACTATGGCGCATACCCACTTCCGGCATATTTCTTCATCGTCATCAGCCGCTGCATAAAAAACCTCACAAATGTTTCCGACGAGTTTATAGCACTTAGAACGCTTCTCTAAAGAATTACGAAGGATAGCGTAGTGAATGCTTGCCTACTACGCAAAATTTATGAATATTTGTGGCGCAGTGGGTTCCCAGCAGTCTGCTCGCAGCATGCCAAAGAGTGTTCAGAAAAGGCTCTGAAAGGCCGCTTTTACAGCTTTCGCGATGACTGTGCTGCGCGTTCCACGGACGCCTGTCGTCTTGTGTGCGTGTGTGTGTGTGTGCGTGTGCGTGTGTGTGTGTGTGTGTGTGTGTGTGTGCGTGCGTGTGTGTGTGCGTGTGTGTGTGTGTGCGTGCGTGCGTGTGTGTGTGTGTGTGTGTGCGTGCGTGTGTGTGCGTGCGTGCGTATGTGTGTGTGTGTGTGTGTGTGTGTGTGTGTGTGTGTGTGTGTGTGTGTGTGTGTGTGTGTGTGTGTGTGTGTGTGTGTGTGTGTGTGTGTGTGTGTGTGTGTGTGTGTGTGTGTGTCCCCACTTGAAAAAAGTTAAGACGCCATACGATGGTCCTCCCCTTCGTTGTGCGCAAATGGAGTCCCTATTCAGCCTTCAAGTGTTTGTACAGTCCGCGTTTTCAGGGATGGCATCCTTCACCACATTCAGTTTCTTGTGCTTCCTTTGTGCACTCACGCAGTCACTTTAGGATGCGACATCCTTTCTTCAGTATGAGCTTTCATATATCGTGCCGTCAGCGAGTAATTCATATGTCAGCTACTGAGAGTTCATCCGATGTCGATCTATACAGCTTCCATTTCGTTGCTGCCGCTGATTGTTTCCTTTCGCCAGGAGATGAACGAATTCTCAGGATCACTTCGCACACTATAGTTAAGGGTTACGTGTTCATAGCGCCATCAGTTCGCTCCGAACCTGTGGGGTTTACCATTGCACCCGGGCTTGTGCGGTTTAGCGACGGCAAAGCATATGTCTCCGCCTCGAAACCAACTTATTCGCCAGTGATGATTCCCTGGGGCACTGCTGTGAGCTGCTTCGCTGACAGCAAGCCTTTTTTGCTGGTTTCCCTTCACGCAGAATCACCACCTTTGTCTGCTACAACTGATATCAAAGCTTCCACTGTTGCTTTAATTGCTACTATAGGTCCTCACCTTACTGCCTAGCAAAAGAGAGACCTCTTAGACCTTCTCCAAAAACGCAGCTTTTCGTTTGACATACATTACAAAGTTTTGGGCCGCACCTCCGTTGCAGAGCACAGCATCGAAACCGAAAGCTGCTCCATTGTACGCCGCCGCTCATACCGTCTGTCTTCAGCGGAACGGCAAATCCTTAAGGAAAACAACGCCAACATGCTCAAATGGGATATTATTCGACCTTCATCCAGCTCTCGGTCGTCTTCTGTGGTGGTGGTCTGGAAAAAAGATGGCTCTGCCCGGTTTTGTGTTGATTACAGAGCGCTCAATGAGATCACAAAAAAAGATGTATATCCGTTGCCACGCATAGATGATGTCCTGGGTTCCCTACAAGGCGGAGAATACTTCTCCAGCCTCGACCTCCGATCCGGGTATTGGCAAATACCCATGCGCGAAGCAGACAAGTAGAAAACAGCGTTTACTTCGCCTGACGGGCTTTACGAGTTTAACGGCATGCCTTTTGGCTTATGCAATGCTCCAGCAACATTCGAGTGCATGATAGATACCGTCTTACGTGGTCTCAAGCGGAAAACCTGCTTATGTTATTTAGACGACATCGTAATTAATTACTCTACTTATCATCAGCACCTTAAGCGTTTTGATGAAGTTCTAACGTGCATTTTGAACGCTGGCCTTCAGCTCAATACAAAGAAGTGCCACTTCGCCAGCACAAGCATCAAATTATTGAGTCACCTTGTCAGCAAAGATGGCGTTTGACCCGACCCCGACAAGGTTGCTGCCTTAATTAGTTTTCCACGTCAGGGCAATCAAAAACGATTGCGAAGTTTTGTGGGCCTGGCGTCTTACTACCGCCGCTTCATCAGCCACTTTGCTGCCATTGCGGGACCGTTGCACAAGCTTTGGACGTCAGCAACGGCCTTCACTTGGACTGACGAGTGCTTTCTAAGCCCTTAAGCGTGCTTTGACATCAGACCCCGTCCTACGTCACTTCGATAAGAGTGCGCCCACTTTCCAGCACACAGATGCCTGCGGCCACAGAATTGGTGATGTCCGGCTCCAGCACGACGACCCTTCACGTGAGCAAGTAGTTGCGTATGCCAGCCGCGCACTAACACCTGCTGAGCAGAAGTACTCGATAACAGAGCAGGAATGTCTCGCTGTCGTTTAGGCCATCCAGAAATTTCGACCTTATCTGTATGGACGCTACTTCACTCTGATTACAGACCACCACGCCCTATGGTGGTTGTCCTCGCTCAAGAATCTGTCTGGGCGCCTTGGTCACTGGATACTCCGTTTGCAAGAGTACACTTTTCACGTTGTGTACAGGTCTGGCAAGCAGCATCAGGATCCCGACACTCTCTCTCGATACCCTCTGCCGCTTTTATCTCCAACCACGCATCCTCAATGCCCCTCAGGTGATCAAGCGGCTTCCTCTTCACTCACGTTATCACCCATGGCAGTTGCTGGGTCACTATCTTTAAACAGCAGCGCTCAGTTTGCCACGTGCCAGCGTGACGACCCCTACTGTAACCGTATCATCGGATACTTTAATGGCTCGCCTTCTCCACCTAATGCCAGACTACGTCGTCACCTACGGCAGTTCAAGCTACAGAACAATGTCCTGCAGCGCTATACTTACAATGTATATGGGCATCGGTGGGTGCCAGTACTTCCCTGTTAACTGCGAAAACAAGTTCTCGAAGCGTTGCACGATGACCGATCAGCTGTACACTCGGGATTTCAGAAGGCATACAACCGCATTAGGAGCCGTTTCTTCTGGCCTCGTCTTTCTACCTTTGTAGCTAATTATATCGCTTATTGTGCACTTTCTCAACGCTAGAAAGGACCAACTTCAGCTCCTGCTGGCTTAGTACAGCCCATTTCATGCCCTGATACACCTTTTGTCATTGTCAGAATAGCCATCATCGGACCACTTCCTGTAACGCCCGCGGGCCACCGCTGGATCATCACAGCCGTCTACCATCTCACATGATGCGCGGAGACCGCTACTCTACGCACTAGCTCTGCCTCAGACGTTGCCGCCTTGTTTTTAGAAGCCATTGTGTTGCGTCATGGTGACCTCGCACGTTGTTGAGTGACCGAGGCAAGGCCTTCATGTCAACAATTCTTGACGAAATTTTTAAAGATTGTGGCACAATTCATTAGACCACATGCGCTTAGCACCCGCAGACAAATGGCCTGACAGAGTGATTCCACCGGACTCTAAGTGACATGATATCCATGTACATTGGACCGAAGCACGATAACTGGGACAAAATCTTGCCGTTCGTAATGTTTGCACACAATACCGCTGTTCAACGAACCACCGGGTATTCACCTTTCTTCAAGTCAAGTCAAGTCAAGTCAAGTCAAGTTTATTAAATAGTTCAGTTGAGTTACATGGTTAGCGTTATTACAGCAGGAGGTCCCAAAGTTTCAGAGAAACTGACAGGGGGACCTCCTATGGCTACATTTATGGGGTAATTACAAAACATACAGCAATAGTATACGGACTTGTGAGTAATAATGAATAACCTTGATTAAATTTTAAAATACGATCAATAAACAACATAATGGTAATACTCACTATTGAAAAATAACAAGGAAATAGTCAAAAGCAAGTGAAGACAAAAAACAATATTAATGAACACTACGTGGCAAATGCAACACGTTTCATTATCAGTGTTATCAATTATACAAAGGTAAATTGAAGTAGT